TTGCTTGGGTTGACTTTTGTGTTTGGAAACATGAAAAACAATTGGCTTTCTGCGTCTTTCCTTGTGGCGCTTCTCGTGCTTGGAAGCATGAAAAACAATTCATGTTTCGTTTCTTTCGTTCTGTTGATTCTTCCGAAGAAAAACACGGAAAACAATTCATGCTTCGTTTCTTTCCTTGTGTCCCACTTTCTATGCCTTGTCGTTTTTCTTTTGGAAAACATGAAAAACAACCCATGCTTCCTTAATTCAAGAATGTTTTCGATGTCTTTGGTCAATCTCCTTTGTATATGTTGAAACCCTACCTAGAATCAAAATATGGAAAAACCTATTCTGGCTGCAAATGTAAATGTCTAATTATTAATGAAAATTATCAAGATTTTGACTCAAGAAGAAAGGGAAAGACCAACTGGGTCAATAACCCTTTTGGTTCTCTCCCATTTTTGGGAGACCAATGGGAGAGAAGACTTTGGGGAAATTTGCCAAAGAAAGTTGATTGAAATCAAATCAGGTGATTTGAAGGAATGCATAAAAAAAGGAGAGACAAAGTGTGGATAATAATTGGTGGGTATTGTTGTTAGTTTCCAAAGAGAAATTGTCGCCTAATACACATGATGATATTGTAGTAAAAAAGGATAATGACTTAAAAAGGTAATGAAGTTTTAAAAATGTACAAAAAAAGACAATTTTCTTTTTTTTTAGTACACAAAATACCATTAAGGTATATTTTTTGTACATAAAATACCAACAAAGTACACATGTGTTCAAATAAAACCTTGTGGTAACCGGCTATCTCAGGTAAACAGAAAATGACTTAAAAAGGTAACAAAGTTTCCAAAATGTTCAAAAAATACCATTATTTTTTTAATATAAAAAATACTCTGAAGTATATCATTTGTACACAAAATACCAACGAAGTACATATTTTAGTACAAAAAATACCATTGAAATTTCCGTAATGTTCAAAAAAAAATCATTGTTGTTTTTTCAGAGCACCTTTTGTTAACTTCATTGTTTCCGGATTATATAGAACACGATCATCGGAGATTAGTCACCGCCGTACCAGTTCACACCGGTTGTTTACTCTCTTTCATTTCATCACTCAATCAGTTTGTATCTAAATCCATATTTAGGAATTCTCATGGCATAACGTCACACTCGTTTCTCCTTTGTGTCGATCTTGTGCCGCAACACTAATGAACGGCTAACCTTGATGTATAATATGTGCATCTATATAACGTGTATATGTTTTAGGTTTGAGGTATAAATGTGATCAGAAAGCAAGAATGTTTAACTAGGGTTATTACCCACTTACTTCTCTTGTTAGCACAAGAACGGTCGAGTGAAGGAATGAAAGAGATTTGCACAATTGTTGTGAACTGATATGACGGTTCATGATCTCCGGTGATT